TGTGGGCCCAGCTAACAGCTGAGAGATGACCTCAGGACCTGGCTGGTTTTCAAGCATGGGTGTGGGGGCCATTCAGTTTGTTGCAGAAGAGGTGCCTGTTCAGGTTAGGAGGCTGCCTGAGAGAGGGAAGACCTACTAGCTTCCTTACTCTCTAGGCTGGGGAAACTGAAGCAGCCCACCCAGGCTGGCAAGCCTTTGCTTGCCTCTGGGGACTTTCTAAATATCCTGGAAGGGCAGGAAAAAAAAAAAAAAAAGATGATGAGCAGTTGTACAGTTTGGGAGGGTGGGCAGAGGCTGAATCTGCATAGTTAGTGGACCTGAGAGCAGATCCCTCTGGAGCTCAGCCACTGAACCTGCTTGACCCTTAGACTCCTCCCGCCTTCATCTCCATGAATGGCATTACTGTCACCCTATTACTGGAGACTGAAGTCTCAGGCATCGCTCTGATGATTCAGTCAGTTCACTGGCACATCTTACCCAAGATAGCTCTCATCTCTCCACCTTCCTGCCACAGCCCTGCAAATGCATTACCTCTCTCCTAGGCTCATGCAAAGGTCTTCAACTTGATCTTGCTCCCTGCAATTCCATGCTCCAAAACTACCAAAGTGATCATTTTACAAGTGAGAATAAAAAAGCCTTGTATTGGTTAATTTTGCTATCAAGGGGGAAAAATCCTGACCCCTTCCCATGGCTCTAACTCTAATCTCTTTTCTACTTAACTCCCCTCTGGCCATACTAGGCTTTGCTTAGTTCCCAATTGATAGTGAAGCTCTTTCCTGCCTCAGGGCCTTTGACCTTGAGGTCTCCTGTGCCTGGAACATTGTCCCCCAGAGCTTGGCATGGCTGGTATCATCATATCCTTTAGATATCAGTTTAAACATCATCTTCTAAGGGAAGCCTTTCTGAAATGCTAGATCTGCATCCCCCAAAGTCTCTCAGCACCTCATTGATTTCTTTCATAGCACACACTGCAGGCTGTCGTCATTTATGGTTTGTCTCCCCCAGAAAGAAAACTGCACAAGAGCAAGTTCTGCCTTTGCCACAGCCATTGGATGGGGTTTTATACCTTCTTAAGAAACCTATTTTATTACATATCTTCAGAAAATTGCCCACATCTAAATGTATGGGGAGATATATTTTTATAGAGTGAACATACCTGTGGAACCAGCATGCAGATCAGAAGGTAAAACACTTCCAGTGGGGGAATTAGTGTTTAATGCGAGCAGAGTTTCAGTTTTACAAGATGAAAAGATTTCAAGAGATAGATGATATTGATCTATACATTATGAGCATATTTAATACCACTTGAGCTGTACACTTAAAATAGTTACAGTGATAGCATCCTTAACTTTTAAATTAAATTAAAAATAACTTGATGGGTGCAGTGGTGCATGCCTGTAATCCCAGAAGTCTGGGAGGCTGAGGCAACAGGATCACAAGTTTCAGCCCAGCCTGGGAAAGTTCCTGACTTAGTGAGACCCTGTCTTAAAATAATAAAGGGTGTGAGGCTGGGATGTAGCTCAGTGTGAAGGCCCTGGGTTTGATCTCCAGCACCACAGCAAACAAATTAATAAGGCACCTTGTTTTTTCAGGACCAAACATTATCCTGATTACTTTTGCTTGTTTTGGACTTCATATAAATGAAGACATACAATATTGCGATAGCCACAATCATGACCCCCAAAATGTCCACATCCTAGTCTCCAGAATATCTGAACACATTCCCTGCACAGCATTGAGGAACTTTAAGATTGGCTAAGTTAAGGACCTTGAGATAGGAAGATGATCTGGGATTATTCATTACACCATTACATCCTGATGACATACAGAAGTACAGGAGGATGGCAGGGGAGGTTCGAGCCACCAGAAGGGACGCAGCTCTGCTACCACCTTGATTTGAGCTGGCAGGAGCCATGTCAGACTTCTAACCTACAGAAATATAAATAATAAATGTATCTTGGGTCAAACCATCATATTTGGGGCAGTTTGCTACAGAACACTAGGAAATGGATACAAATATTTGCATCTGTACTATACCCTAACTTTTAATTTGTACTATATAATACCCCATTACATGAATATACTATATTCCTCAACTGTTGGCAGGCATTTGAGTTGTTCTCAGAATGATCCGCTACGGATAATGTTGCTAGGAACATTCTCGTGCATGCTTTCTGGTCACATAGGTATGCGTTTCTGTTGCATGTGTACAGGAACAGAGTAGCTGGGTCATGGGACTCGTGTATATAGAGGATGCTGTGATTCAACCCACAGACTATCCTTCAGGACGTGTTCCCCCAGCTGTTGAGTGGACTGCTAGCTGACCATCCTCAGCTGCCAGGCCCCTCTGAGAACTTGCCTCTACTGAAAAGAACTCCTCTAGCCAAGATCAAGTCAGTAATTCCCAGCAGCAGCTTGTATCTGCTCAATGATGGTTGATAACGTGCAAAAAGGGGACATAAAGGCCCCCTCTCCACTGCCACTCAGAGTAGCTTTGAAGTGTCACTCAGAGTCAGAGCTCTTCAGGGATCAGGGGAGGCTTTTGCTGAAGCTATAACCCATCCCAGCCTCTGCCTGTGCTTTTCTCCAGAAGCATTCTCTAACCAGCTTCTTGCAGGCTAAGCTAATCACCACAGGATCAGTAGCTGGGGAATCCAGCCTGCAGCAGCCTATGTTTCACTTGTCCTACATCTCATCAACTGGCACTCTAAGGTGGTCACCTGATGTACACTCCCATCAGCAGTGAGACTTTCAGGTGCTTGATATTCTTGTCCACACTAGGCGATTTCTGACTTTTACATGTTAAGAAAAGAAATTTTTGCCACCCTGCTGTGTAAATAGTGTGTGTTAGTCAGCTTCTGTCACTATAACAAATACTTGAGATAATGAACTGCTACACTGTGGAAGTAGCCCAAAGGTCCATGTGCTAAATAAAGGTATGGACACTAGCCTGTGGCACCACCAGGAGTTGTGGCCTAATGAAATGAAGTTAGGTTATTGAAAGCACATCCTAAAGGGGGTGTTAGAGTCTCAGGCCCTTCCTATCTCTTTCTGTGCTTCCTAAATGCTAAGAAGTGAGCAGTTTCCTCTGCCACGCACTTCTTACCTTGATGCACTGTCTTGCCAAAGCCCCAAAGGCAATGGAGACTGAACCCTCAGAAACTGTGAGCCAAAACAAATCTTTCCTCCTTATAAGTTGACTTATCACAGGTATTTCATCACAGTGAGGGGAAGATACTAACACACCAATTTATAAAGAGAGAAGATTTTGGTCCATAGTTTTGGAGAATGCAGTCTGTGATGATTGGTCCTGCTGCTTTTTAGACCTTCGGCAAGGCAGATCACCATGGCAGGAGCATGTAGTGCAACAAAACTACTCTTTTTTTTTTTTTTTTTTTTTTTTTTTTTT